ATGTGTAATCAGGAGCTGAAGCCAAAGGCGGTTTCAGGTGGTGCCTCTTGGAGAGGGGTGCAGGTGAAGGTGACTAGCCCCGGGTAAAATACGGTCAACCTGTGGGTGGGGATGGAGACTCTGATAGGAAATTTAAGGGACAGCAGAAGCCCCAGGATTGAGTGTTTATGGGATTTCAGCATTTTCCAGGATTCAGTGATTGTGGGGTCAGCCATTTCTGGCCCCATCACGCCGATCTTCCAGAAGGCTGTTGGGGGCCTCCAGAGGACTTGGAGAGGCTTCTAGCAGCCAACCTCAGAGAGAAAATCTGAGGGATTTTGCAGGTAGCCAAGCAACTGAAACTGCCTAGCTTTGCTGTGGTTATAGCCTGGAGGGGCAGGAGAAGACCCTGAGCTGGCACCTCACTGAGCTGTGTGAGTGGGGCAGTTTGTTGGAGTTGCTTGGTTGCTGCAGCTGCTGTTCCCAATGTCGCTTGTCTGGTGCTGTGCTGGCTTATCTCAGCAGCTCCGTGAGCATCTCCTGTTGTGTCTTCTACTGTCTTCCTGAGTTGGATTCTGGCCTATTGTCTGTCTGCCTCATGCTACAGGCACTCAGCGGTAGAAGATGCCATCTTAGACACCTTCTGTTTAGGACTTCAAAATACTGGACACTGCGTCGGGTGAGATAAATGGCCATTTGTGGCCTCAGTGACTCTATTTTCCCTTGTTTGTTAAATGAATCCTATTATTGTTGTTCTTTGAACCTGAGTGGTCTTGTGGGTCTTGGGGCACTCTCCTTGGCCAGTTTTAGTGCCCCTTACTGCCTGGTATCAGATGGACAATCTAAATCTTTAACAAGGTTTCAAATATGGAGAAATGAATTTTTCAGCTTTTGCTTGGAAATACGATGTTTATCTTTTTAAAGAGAGACCACAGCTTTCAAAAGTGAGGCACACACTTGGTCAAGGCAAACACATTTTTTATTTGGTAGCACTTAAATGACTTGAGTGAGGATTTCCAAAGCTATCTCCTGGTTTCCGTTTTCTGTTCCAATCACAAGGCAAAGCAAGTATTTACTTTTAGCACAGTGGCTGCCCAAGCACTTTGCAAATGTTTCCACAAAGCCAGCTGCTCTTCATAGGTCCCCCTGGGAACATTTCTCTTGGTTCCTGACACTCGAGCGCCTACCACCTCTATTTGCAAAGGCATTTGTCATACAGAATTTTTTTTTTTTTTTTTTGAAGAAGGATACTCCAGATTCCAGTTTGGAAAACTTTGTGCCTTTGCTCAGAACTTTGGGCTCCTCAGAAGACTACCATTGTAGCCCCAGGAAAGAAACAACAACCAAAACCTCAACTGCTCCTCTGTGATACCTCTTGACTAACTACTGTAGGACGGAAAATTCTGAGAAAGTTCATCTTGAAACCTTTGTTGGATTTGCAGTGTATTTTTTAGTAACATTTTTTTTTTTTACTTTTGTGTAGAGAAAATGGGGTGTAGGCCAGAGATGCAGGGGGTGAGAGTGGGGAACAGATCAGGCAGATCTGTTGAAATACACTGCTGAGGGAAGCAGCGGGCGAGACATGAGAGGTCTGCCGTGCCATGTGGGTTGCTCCCTGGTTGGGGACTGAACTCAGGCTGTAGCGATGATAGTGCTGAAACTTACCCCCTAGGCCACCAGGGATACCCCTGCATTATATATTTGAAGGTAGTTCCTGTTTATAAATGTTGTGACCACATTGAGTTTCATGTTTACTTTCTCCACAGTTCATTTTACACTTTATCTACCATCACATCCCACCCTATCCTCTATTTTTTTTTTTTTTAAGAAGGAGCTCCTGAAGTGTCTAGTGACTGCCCTTCATGCCATATGCTACATGGAATAAAAGGTTGTGGTCAAGCCCTCTTTTGGAGACTCAAGTTACCCAATCTCTGTCACTGACAATTTTGTAGCTTCTGTCCCAGGACCTGATTGTGGACTCAGTTTTTTTTCACATATAATAGGCAGTTCAAATACGTAGACTTTTGTGTACGTATGTGTGCATGTGTGCAAGTGTGTGCATGTATGTGCAGGCCTGTGTGCTCAAACAACAAAAACTTGAACTCTCCACCACATACCACCTGTTTTTACATCATTGTTGTTACAAAAGGGTGTTTTTTCCCCTTTCTTTCTTTTAATTAGCTGAGCTGTCCTATTTTCCAGAAACTTGCCTCTTCTCTCGCATATGGGCTGGACCGTGTTTCTTTTCATTAGACCTGAGCCTTGTTTGTCATGTATCCCGTACTTTTGCCTTTCTCTTTCATTTGGAAAGAAAGAGAGGTTTTTCTATTATTTTAGAGCAAAGCACCTCTGGTTTATGTGGCGACTCTTGTGGCTTTCTAAATGCACTTGATTTAGCTTTCAATGTGTAATTACTGCCAAACAAGTTAATTGCTTTATAAGTGTCCAAAATTCCCTGGTTTAATTTTGCTTTCATTTACCAACCTTCATTATACATCCACTGTTCAACATAAACACAAATGATTGTTAATGAATGCCTAATGCCATATTCATTAGAAAATCAGGTTAATGACTGGCAATGAATATCCCAGCTACTTTATTCTTCCAGGCCCCCTTTTATTTTTTGCTTGTTGATTACAATAGCTTTTTTGTTGTTTATAAAAAAAATTCTACCTGTGTTCTGGCCTTGCTTAAAAGTTTAAGATAAAGCTTTTCTAAGGAATCCGAATCCCTGCATCCCTGATTCTTCTTTTATAGTCCTTTACCCTTTAGAAAGAATCTGCTGTTAAAATGAAATGGTCAGAACATATGCGATGTCCTTGGACTGTGGGGTAACATGATGCTGTCCTGTTGGAGAGCAGACATTTCAGGACTGCCATGTGCAGAGGCGCAGGTGGTACACAGAACTTGAGGCATTGTTTGCATTGTACTCTGTGAAACACACCACCCGGTCGTTTTCACCCATAACCTGCATAACTCAGAGTAGTGATATTGAGGCATTTCCTTTCAAGTAAGAAGTGTGTCCGAGCAGCATGGTTGGGGACAGCATTCAGCATTCCATGCTGGGTACCTGGGACAAAGGCCACCTACTCAGAAGTCACCTGATCTGTGAAGGTACATGGCTGGAGTGATGGCAGGTGTCCATCTAGGAGGGCAATGGAGACACACTGTTGAGGCGGGTCTGACTCTCCACCTGGAGACTTTTTCTTTGTAAATGAGATCTCTTCTCCTTGCTGCAGACATCAGGTTGCTTTCTCAATCAAATCTGAGAGCTGGATTATGAAGATCAAGTGTGTGTGCTGATAACTGAGCAGAGATGGGGTGAAGCACAGAGTCTAGAACAAAACTTGATGCTGGCTTGTCACTGCATGGTTGTATGATCTTAAGTAGTTCCCTCGTGTCTCCAAGAGAATGTGGGTGATACAGGATTCCTTGCTCCACATACCCTCTGATTCCTTCTGGGTCTGGGAGAGTCCACTTGCATTATTTAAACCCACTGATTAAATGCACACCACGTGCCGGACACAGAGTTGATGTCATGGTGCTGTGTACGAGACTCACGTCCTAACTTTGTGGGAAAACAAATGAATGTGACCCACATGCTCCCGGCTGTACCTGGCTGGCATACAGGTGTGGCATATTTACAGTTCCACTCAATTTCAGTGCCCTGAACTCATATGGCCCCAGTTATTTCCTCCAGATTCTAGTAGTGTCACCTTTTTTCTTCCATCTGGAACCTCCTTCCATTTCTCTTGCTACTTTCCTTTAGTCTTGATCCTTTGATCTCAAAGATACCATTGCCTCGTCTTCCATTTTTGTCATTTTATTTTTTTATTTTTTGGGTGGGGAGGTCTCTTGTCTATCAGCCAAGCCTATCTCATTTATATTCCTTGGCTCTCTATATCTCTGTGCCCCTGTGTTTCTCCTTCATAACACTTAGCAACATGGAAATTGTGCCTTTATTTGTGTGATTCTTTGGCTACAGTCTCCTGCCTTCAATTCCGATCACTTTGAGGAAAGGCATGATGGGTTCCTCATTATCTGCACATATGCTTGTGGCCTGCTTATAGACATTTTGAGACTGTCTCTATCATGACAACAGGATTCCCAGGCCAAGAAATGACTGAGGCACTATTTTGGTAACTAGATCAACAAAAGATCAAGGATCTTGGGAATTTACTAAATAAAAAGCATAGACTGAAAAAGAAAAGTATGAAAATAAATTCTGCTATTAATGTGTTTTGATGTTTTAAGTAAAATCACAAGTTTCTATAATATTGTTACATCCTCAAGGGTACCTTTTCCGACTCCCCCAAATGGGTCTCTTGTATGTATCATATTTGTATCAATCAGGTGTCTGCTATGCTAATTCTGCATCACAAACAACTCCAAAGGTAGTAACTTTCAACAAGCTGCAACCCTTTCTAATGTTCATTGGTCTGTGGGTTTGGCTCTGGCGCTGATGGACTCTGTTGGGACTGGCTTAGAGTTTTGGGTTAGAAGTTCCTTCCTTAGAAACACAAGAGGACAAGTTAAACCCTTCACATTTATATAAAGTCTCTGCTCATGCCGGGTCTGCAAAAATGTCACTGGCCAAAACAAGTCACAATGAGACAAGGAAAGATAGTTTCTTTACTTCAGCTGTGTAAAGTCACATGGCAAAGGGTGTAATGTTTAATTTTATTTCCTCCTAAAATGCCGTAACATTTTCAACTTACTCTGTGTCCCCCATTCATAACATTAGCCATGGGTGAAATTTTACATTTATTTGGGCGTTTTCCAGTGCCTGCTTGTGGGATTTCTCTGGAGTCTTGAGGGCAGGACTTGTGTCTCCCTGATCTCATCCTTGCTCCTCTGGCATTTAGGACAGTATTCTGGCTACTCTCAGATAGTCAGTGAATGAATAATCATTGTTTGAACAAAATTGCTTCTGATTGGCCTAAAAATCATCTCAGGAGTGGAAATTTTTCTTTGTGAGAATGATGGAAGTGATACTAAGTGCCTTGTTTCAAATCTTTCAGAATCCCCCTCGCTATATGGCCGTTGTGAGAAGCGCAACCCTGTGGGAGAGAAACCAACCCCATGAAAATGTGAGTAAGCAAAGAGGTACTTTTAAGGACTGTGTCTACCATGTCACCTTTTGGGATTTGATTGCTTTCCATATGAGATTTGCTTCTTTGTACTTTTGACTTTATAACTGTTGAAAAATTTATTTTTTTAAAAATTTCAAAGTAAGACGAATGCTAAGGCATTTCCTATAGAATACTGGCTCTCTGAGATTCCTATTTCCCTTTTATCCTTTTCACACAGATATGTACACTGAGAAAAATCTATATCTTCCTTTGATAAGCAAGATTAGAAATCATGGTATATTAGGTATCTTTGCAGTGCGTGCCTGTGGCACCTATTTCATCTTAGTATAATCAATAAAAATAAACCACTGAATTCATGAGCAAAGGCTCATTTTGCAAGTAGTGTTCATCCTCATTGCAGTTCCCACTTGCTGGTTGCTAATCTCCTCCTGGTGAGAGCCCAGCTGAATGGTTGTCAATACCATGTACATGTGCACGGCTATAAATGATGTGCACATGGTGATCGTCGCCATGGCTGGCCGTCCAGTTGTCATGGAGCTGTGGAAGATTCCCAGGTTTACTCCCATCAAAGCTCTGGTTACAAAACAGAAAAAAAAGAACCTTTCAGCTAAGACTGAGATTTACATCCTAAAAGCTCCATTTCCTACCTGTTCATCTTGAAGGACATGGCAGTGTCCTCTGGGGACGATCCTGGCTCAGGGACACAGTCGAAATGAGAACGTCCCAAGCACTTGGGGAGGGAGTATTCTGGGGAGGGGGGATTCTGGTTTTATCTCTTATAGCTGCTACTTTTCACAATTTGTGAGCAGGATTGTTCCAAATTACTTGCTGAAAAATAGCATATGGTGACTGGAAATAGAATTGAAGAGTACAAATCAAGAGATGCAGAAAATCTCATTTTAAGATGAAAGAAAAAGGCCAACTGTGGGGAGATGGAAAATATGACGTAGTTGAAAAACATGACCTGCTTTTCTAACTGTATCGAAATAAGGCATCAGCAATATGCTCTTTTACTATTTTTCCATTTGCACTTCAGGTAATTGAGCTCTCAGGAATTTTGGCCAACTAAGGGAGTCCATGACTCCCAGCATGGGTTGTGTTAGAGAAATGGACCCCAGTGCTGTGCTTAGGTGTTACTCCTAGAATGACCTTTGCTTTGCTCTGGAAGCTCCAACACCTGCTCCAGTTTCCACTGGTCTTGTTTCCCAGTATGTGCTTCCCAGCTGGGAGCTGCCCTGCCACAACTTGGAGTCAGTCATAGTTGTTGGGCTGTCTTGGGGCCATAGGGATGAAGAGGGGCTCCATCTGCACCTGCCAATAGGCTGCATGCTAACCCTACTGTCCAGTGCTTGTTTGCCCTTTGCTGTGCCAAAGCCTTTCCCCGTAGCATGGTGGGAATGCAATTGCCAGTATTTATGGAAAAAGAATTCACTGCTCAATGGAAAGTGTGCTTTCACATGGTTCCACCTTTCAAACACGGTGACCCCTGAGCAACACAGGTTTGAACTGCCTGGGTCCACTTGTAGGCTGACTTTGACCGAGCAGAGTTTGGTGTCAAGGGTGAACTGTGTTTTCTTTTTCTTTTTTTTAAAGATTTATTTATTTATTTATACAAGCACTGGGTACAGTCAGAAGCACGGGAGGGTGAGAGAATTCACCAGAGCCAGAGTGGGGAACAGAACAGGCAGACCGACGAAGTACACTGTGCTGAGGGGAGCAGCGGGCGTGGAAGGAGAGGTCTGCGCGCCATGTGGGACCCTTGCCGGCAGCTGGGGATTGAACTGGTGCTGCAGAGGCTGTGGGCAGCTTCGCAGCCCAGTGCTCAACTGCTGCGCCCCCAGGGGAGGCCCTGTTTTATTTTTCTTAAGACTTTCTTAATAGCATTTTCTTTCTCTAGCTTACTTTATTGTAAGAATAGGCTATATAATATATATAACCTACTAAATACTTGTCAATTGATAGTTTATGTTATTGGTAAACCTTCTGCTCAACAGAAGGCTATTTGTAGTCAAGTTTTAGAGGAGTCCAAAGTTCTACATGGATTTTTGAATGTGTGAGGGTTGGTGCCCTTTACCCTAGAGTTGGTCAAGGATCAACTAGATATAGCCAAATCACTGATCATGCATTAAACAGGTACAAGACTTGTGTACCAATTGTGGTGTTTTAGCATGGGAAAGAGTCGATCATAAACAGGTTAGTGACCCTGGAATGGGTCCTCTGCACTTCAAGTGTTAAAGTGAACATTTGAAAAATGTTCCAGGAAGCAGCTGTGCCATTAATCAACAGATTAATGAATAAGCACAATGTAGAATATGCATACAATGGAATATTATTTAGCCATAAAAGGATGCCATTTTGATACATGATACAACATGTATCAACATGAAACAGGTACAACATGAAAAACTGTTGTATGGATTAAATGAGATAGTATCAAAAAGGTGACTAACCCAGGACAATGTAAACCATTATTATGGAGCTAAAATCATACTTCCATACACATCATCTAAACAAGAATAATCTGGGTGCTACAAATATTTCAAACATGGGAAAATCACCAAAAGTGTTTGAATGTCACAATGCAGAAAGAACTGTCCCATACCTTAGAGGCATCTTCATGGTGCCATTCATTCATTCTGGAAAGTATTCACAACACTATTATGGACATTGTTTTTTGCCTAGATCCTCAATGACAACTTCAAGAAATCATTTAGCTGGTAAATATTTTCTTGTCCTTAAAAGGACACCATGACAGCTATGTATGCTGTCTAAGACTTGAGAAGTTTATGTTATCGTAAGCAAAAGGCATTTATCAAACATTTACCTATATGCCAAGTGATATTCAAAGAACTGGTGTAGGGCCTCCCTAGTGGTGCAGTTGGTTCAGCACGGAACTGTGAAGCTGTCTGCAGCCTCTGCAGCGCAGGTTTGATCCTGGCTGGCCCATGAGAATCCCACATGGCGAAGCAGACCTCTCCTGTCTTGCCCACTGCACCCCTCAGCAGTGTATTATGTCAGTCTGCCTGTTCTGCTTCCCGTTCTGTCTCTGGTGAATCCTCTCACCCTCCGGTGCATCTGGCCTGTATCCCGGTTCTTGTATAAAAATAAATAAATCTTAAAAAAAACCAAAAAACCAAAAAACTGGTGTATTTCTGATACCAAAAAGGACAACTAAATATAGTGGAGAAAATTTTGGAGTTACATAGATCTGAGTTTAATCCCAGCTTTCATTCACTCATTCAACAGAATAGAAATGGTTTGAATATAAGGTGCTATGTTAAATAATGAATTACCTAATCTCCGCACTATGACTTGAAAAATTATTTAAACATTATCAAATGATTTTGTCCTTTGTCTCATGTTCAATGCCCACTTCATAAACTCTTCACAAAGGTAACCCATGTAAACTACACGGCAGTATTTAATAAATGGTTTCTTCCCACTTTCCCACAGAGGTCTTATGATTCAAGACAAGCCACAAGCTCATTAGCCCACTCACAGAACTAGGTGAAGAAAGCATTAATCCATAGGAGAATAAAGATCAGAATAATTACATAAACATCAAGTCTGGGAATTTCAGAAATCCTAGGCCCTGTAGACACAGAGTCAATACTCAAAATTATCCATCGACTGTATCTGTTGAATCAAGATTTCAAATAGTGAGCCTCGCATTTGGTAGCAGGCAACAGAGCACACTGGGGGAAAGTCATTCACAAAAATTAGAAGACCCACGTTAGGTGAAGCAATCTGGGCTGCAGGCTGTGGTTTTCTTGAGCAAAGCATGGTCTTCTCTAGCCTCAGTCTCCTCATCTGGGAAACTAGAAGAGGAGCTTCATCTTTCCTAGGTTACCAATGATTCCTGGTAAAAATACGTGTCAAAGCCTCAGGTCATCACTTTGTAGTTGGTTCACTCAGTCTGAAATTGAACTATATGCCTCTTCCTCCAGTCTTCCATTCTTTTCCAAAGATGTTTTGAAACTCTTAGCCAGGCAGACTATCACAATGGAGTTCTGTTTCATTTTTTTACCCTAAAATATAATGTATAGACTAACAAGTTAAGAAACATGTTTCACTGCAATAAAAAAAATCCCATTTTAACATCTAAAGATTAAAAATGAACCAGTCACTTCATGTTTCTAGCAAACACACTTACCATTGTGTGGGGTTGTATTGTCCCCCCTGGTAAATAGAAGTTTAAATGTCTACGCCTAGAACTGAATACCGTGTCAAATCTATTGGCACTGCATGTTTAAACACCTGCATCTCATCACCAACCCTTCATAATATTGTTAAACAATAATTACACTTATGATGAGTAATGAATCCAAATATATTCTTCCTTGAGATGTACTCCAACTTGAGTTATATGTAACCCTGAATAGAAGATGAAAACTATTCAGGTCAGACAGGATTCACACATTGACTCATTTTCCATTTACTACTCAGTTTTAAAAATGATAATCACAAACTATAACATTGTCATTTTATTAGAGTATTCTCACCCTATTTTTTGGAGGATGATTAATTTCATCATTTTTGCTTGCAAGAGTTCTAAATTTAGAATACTGGAAAGTATTTAGAACTTCTACAGTTTAGAACTTAGAACTTAGAATTTCTAACTTCTCAGATTTAAATCTAAAAAAGAATTTTACTTTGAAATTTGACCAAGTTTATTTTTTCATATAGAAATGAAAATGAAAGCTATAGATAATGCTAATCTTGACTTTAGTTATACCAATAGCATTTGTTGATGGATTTAGAGAGAATCTCTGAGGAAATCATCACCTACTCCCAGACCAGAGTGTACTGTGCCAATTGCTGTGATCAAAATGGACCAGCTTCATGAAAAAGAGAGACGCAAATATAAGGCACATTCATCAGAAGAAGCCATAGAAGAGACTAACATACTTGGCAGTGGATCTATGTGCACAAATTTCTAGGTCTTTCCATATTGAATTCAACTTCCACAGCAACCTCATGAGGTTAGTGATGGCCTG